GGCCTAATCACTCCCTTGATAAGGCGCCATTGCCACTGAAACTTCACGTGTTGTAACACTGGGCAGGACCTCTATCCACTCCAATACATAGCTTCCCTTATCGTCCCTATGAGAATTATCGTGACCACTTCCTTTAATTCAAAATATTCATCAATATTAGATGTGACCAGCGTCGCTCGCCATAATTATAACCGAAGGGAAATAGATAAAAATGAAGGCATTCAAGAAGTGAATGAGCCTTTATTCTACTAGAAGTGGAATGAAGAGGACCCTACTATTCTTCAGATCATTCTCGACATTTTGACACAGAGTTCATTTGCAGTGGATCAATTTTGCTGAAGACTTTTTTACACGGGATAACGTTTTGTAACTAAAATTGCAGGAATTGATTAATTTATGATCCTTTCTATGAAACTGGCCTACTCTGTGGGACCGATCCTATGGGTGAAAACTTCTGAAGCTTACCCTGCCGCCGCTATCAATTATGAGCCCTCAATTTGGAGCAATATCACATTATTCCAATGAATTGGAAACCTAGGTCACATCTATCGATTTCTCATGGAAAATACTATGCATTTGTATGGCTCAGCAATCACAACCCTTTTACGGTCGACTTTCATACTGATCATCTCCCCCACTGATCTCTCTCATCATTCCATGTCCAGCCTAGTCTACTAGAAAAGCCGCTATCTCTCTCAATTACCGGAGGAATTTATTCGCATCTCACAGAGGAAGGATGGTAGGTGTCTTATTCCGTAGTTTAGCTCCGAACACTACCGCGTGCATGACACGGAAGGGCTCGGTAAAGCTGGCCAGCCGGTGGAGCGTTAGGTTCCGCCGCTAAACAATAACTTGCTTCGTGAAATGCGTTAGCTGGCCTTCCATAGAATGCCCATTTTTAAGCTCACCGTCTGATACGCGCGGTGGAGTGCGGAGCTAAAGTGGTGTCTGTAAACAACCACCATGCATTGGATGTCAGGATGATTTAGCGGTCGAATAATATTGATGCCAATGATCTTTGAAATAGAAATACCAATAGTCGTTTGTCGCAAAACATCCCTCACAATATCCTGTGTGTGTGTGGTGTGTGTGGTGTGTGTGTGGATAGCGCAGTAGTTCTTACATATGTTATAGGGGGTGGGATGGGGACACAAGTGGTATGTGATAGGAACTGATAACGACTGATAATAGCTGATAAGAGGGGCTAGAAAGCGAGCATCGCCAATTTCGTTTTGTCGTTCATATTGGTACTAGAGCGTCTATACTTACAAGTGTTATGTGGGGTGGTCCCGGGACATTGGTGGTACATGATTGAAAGCGATAGCAACTGATAAGGGCTGATAAGATGCGTTAGAACGCAAAAGTCGTCGATTCCGTTACCTGGCTCGCGTTGACACCAGAGCAACCATACTTACAAGTGTTATGTGGGGTGGGACGGGAACATTGTTGGTGGGTGATTGAAAGTGATAACAACTGATAAGGGCTGATAAGGCGCGTCAGAACGCAAAAGTCGTCGATTCCGTTACCAGCTCGCGTTGACACTAGAGCGTCCATACTCGCAAGGTGTCATGTGGGGTGGGACGGGGACATTGTTGGTGGGTAATTGAAAGGAATTGGAACTGTTGTAAATAGCAACACGAAAGTCGTTATTTCTCGTTGGTAGCTCTCGTTGACACTAGAGCATTCAAACTCATAGGTGTTATGAGAGGCGGGATATGGCCATTATTCATGGTTGAAGGAGGGTGACAACAACCGATAGGGGCTGTCAGGGCGCCTTTGACCGCAAGGGACGCCATTCCGTTGTGCAGCTCACATTGATACTAGAGCGTTCATACTTACAAGTGTTATGTGGGGTGGTACCTGGACATTGTTGATGGGTGACTGAAAGTGATAACAACTGATAGAAGCTGATAAGGAGCCTTAGAACTCGAAAGTCGCCAATTCCATCACACAGCCTCCGCTGGAAATGTAGTTTTCGCTTACAAGTGACCCGTAGGATGGAAAGGGAGACATTGGTTGTAGGTGAGGGAGGATGATCTCGAATTGTAAGGGCTGTCAGGGTACTTCAGAAAGCAAACGTCGTCATTCCGTTGCGGAGCCCAAGTTGACTCTGAAGTGTTCTTACTTACAATTGTTCTTTTGTGTTTTGGACTGGGACGAGGACATTGCTTCGACATAACCAGCTTAACTTGGGTCTTCTCAGCGAATGATTCCTTTCACTCCTGATCTGATACCAAGGGGTCCAAAATTCATAAAAACCGCTCAACTTTGTGGTTTTCGAAGAGTGTGAATGTGAAGCAAAGATGAAGCATTCGATAATCACTATTATAAGGAGCATATTTCATTTTCATTCTAAGGCTAACAGCAAAACCCTATTCACCGCTAAATTGTCAGGATTCAATGCTAGGTGTTTACAGAGTTGTGATAAATATACCAGCTCAGCTTCGCATTCACGCGCATCCATGATGGACTTCAATGAAAGTGGAGAGCCTCCAACCTCAGGTCATTCGACTAACATATCCAATAGTGAGGTGCTTTGTGGAGTAGATCAGCAGATGTTCCACAGGTCCTCCAGTTTCGCTGAAGCCTACCGTGTTATGCGCGCGATAGCGGCGAGCAAAACTGGTATAGAATATGTTTTTAGTGATTTCTATCTACGCATTTCATAACTATCGGTCCTTATCAGGCGCCATCACTTCCTGAACCCCACCGAACATGTTCCCGTCCCACCCTGTACATCACTTCTTGGAACCAACGCCCCACTGCTGCTGGGACGCGCGCTATGAATTTCGTGAAATTTGCGTTTCAGCGCCTCTTATCAGCTCTTATCAGTCGTTATCACTTTCTGACCCCCACCAAATATGTTCCCGTCCCACCCCTACATCACAAAATCAACTCCTGACGACTGCTGCGACGCGCGCTATGAATTTCGTGAATTTGCGTTCTAGCGCCTCTTATCAGCCCTTATCAGTCGTTATCACTTTCTGACCCCCACCAAATATGTTCCCGTCCCACCCTGCACATCACTTCTTGGAACCAACGCCCCACTGCTGCTGGGACGCGCGCTATGAATTTCGTGAAATTTGCGTTTCAGCGCCTCTTATCAGATCTTATCAGTCGTTATCACTTTCTGACCCCCACCAAATATGTTCCCGTCCCACCCCTATATCATATTCAAAATACAGCGCTCCCGCTGCAGCGAAGCGCGCTATGAATTTCGTGAAACACACGGACGTACATACAGACTTAGCGCTTTACGCACTGCTGTGCATAATTATGTAGCCACCTATGAATTCTCCAGAAACTCTTCTCCCAAGATGTATTCGAAGAAGCTTCTATGTGGAAAAGGTTGTAGGTATAAATGCTATTTTGCACACCAGCACAGAGTTCCAGCTTTGAAATTTGAAGGAAGTTTTTCTGCAATTTTTCGGAAAAGCCGCTCTAACCTATTCCGCATAATTATACAGCCACCCCATACTTTCTTGTTGCTTTTCTTTTCTGCATGATCAAACTTTTTGTTGTCATCCTTCGGCTTTAGGTGAGAACAAGAGGGAAGCAGTCATCATCCTACTATCCCTGCTATATACAGGGGTGGCCAAAAAAAGAGACACTTCACTCCACATTTCAGACAGCATTAATCACACTTTGCTAGAATCAAATCGACTGCCCCAACTCAGTATTAAAGAGCACATTCTAATCTATCTAAACCTTACATGACAGCCTTCTACACCGACGACATCAGAAGATTTTCCCACGGAAACGTGGTTCACGGTACGAGCTAGGATTCCATGCGTGTGCAATGCCCGCATGCGGCTGTGTTTTTTGAGCGGCTATCCATCTCGGTTCTACACCCGGTATTCGGATTGTTACTGCTTCTATTCCTATTTCCTGCTTCTATTTCTCAATCCACTTACTCTACGTAGCTCCTCGTCGCAAGGGAGCTGATACTTCGGTGTTCTCAGTTGCGACCAAGTCAGGTGAAGTTGTTACGTCAGGTTATTCGTCGCGAAACGATCAATCGAGTCGCTATCGGTTTTGTGGTTGATTTCTCGACACCGACTGGCAATGGACACCCCAGTTTCACATTCAATTAAGAGTGGGAAGCGTCCAAGAGTGGCGACACCTGATGGTCCTCTAATGACGCCGGATTTTGTGGATATCGTGAAACAAGTGAACGACTCCAAAAGCTGTGCCGGAGTGTGTCAAGAAATGGTTATTGTCAATTACAAGCTAGCTCAGTGCCATTATTGAGAAGAATGCCGTGCTCCGTAAGCGTTTTGAAACTTTCAATGACTTGGAAAAGAAAAACAAGGAACTAAAAAAACGTTTACGCTCTTTTGAATTGAAAGAAGTTTCTCATCCTCCTAGCTCTGATCCCACATCTAATAAAGCCCTACCGCATGAAGAGATTGAAAGGAGGCGATCGATTGTGATAAGCGGTATCCCTGAGATTCATGATAGTAATTGTTTCGATAGGATGCACTATGATTACCAAAGTGTTCTCAATATACTTTCACATTTGGATGTTGATTGTTATCCAGTTGCTGTCTATAGACTAGGTAAATGGATTCGCGGTAAAAATGGATCAATCAAGGTGATCCTTCCGTGTTCTATGTATCAAAGGATTGCTGCTATGAGGGCTCGCCGCCTCAGCTCCTTTCCGGAAAGTAGTGTGTTCCTCAGAGCATCACTTACTTTAAAGGAAAGGTTGAGGAGGCGGGAGAGCCGATTGTCGCGCTCCCGTCCTGTTGTTCTTCATCAAGATGTCGGCGCTGTTCATGTTCCACCACCTGTAATTCAATCGGAAAACTGTCTTACCAATTGCTCTACTGGGAAGTTTCAGAAAGTGTGGGAAACTAGTGGTTACTCCACGGTTTTCTGGCCAGCCCCCCAACTATAGATATCGGTCTTTCTCTTTGGAGTCATTGTGTCCTCAGCGTGGTTCTAGATGTCTTTCAGCCAATATACGTTCACTAGTAAAAAAGATTAACTCTCTCAAATTTTTGCTCTCCAAATTCGACTATGGAATAGTTGCACTTTCTGAAACATGGTTGAAAAGTCGAATAGAAATTTCTTCCTTGATTAGCGACTTAGTAGCCAGCTATGAAATATTTAGATGTGACCCTCAGCGAAAGAAGGGTGGAGAGGTAGCTCCTTCAATCAATCATACATTGCTACCTACTCCTGTTTTCAGTGAATCGGTACCAGGCGGATACGAATTAGTTGCAGCCGACTTTGCTTTAGGCGGGATCGATTGGAGAGTGGTTCTTTGTTATAGAGCTCCCAGTTGTCCCTGGAAAGTCTGCGAATCTCATCAAATGTTTGAGTGACCTGCTTACTGGGATTTCAACTTTCCAGACATCAATTGGTCTAATGCTGATTACCAACAGGGCGGGATTTGTCAAAAGTTTTTTGACATGATAAAAAAATCTCAACTTCCATCAGTTTGTAACTACTGGGACCAGGGATGGTAAGATTTTGAACTTACTATTTTGTAATGAGAAGACCTTTGTTTCCAAAACAAAGGTCGATTCCCCTTTAGGAACAAGTGACCGCTAGCATAGAATTTTTCTTGACGCCTTACTGCAATGCGAATTACCTCGTCACCAAACATTATTTCAAGAATGCCGACTTCAGCAAAATTTCGGACTTTCTAGACTCCGTGGACTGGTATGGCTCCTTTTGGGGGCTCAACGTGGATGAAATGTATGAAATATTCCTTTTCATCCTTCGCCATAGTATTGATCGGTTCGTTCCAACAAGGAAGGTCAGGCAGTGCAAGGAGCAGTTTCCGTCGTTCCTTAATTCCCTTTTTGACAGTAAGGTTAAAGCGTACATTATCAAACAAGCCTAGTGATTGAGATTCCTATAAAGTTATTACGAGACGGTTTGAAGGAAAGATGTACAAATACAGTCGTGCTTCTGAAAAGAAAATCATAGAAAGCAATAATAAATCCGCCCTATTCAAGAACATTTCTTCCCGATGCAAGCCCAAAGAAAAACTTCCTGCTCTAGTGAAACCTGGCGGACCTCGAGTTGTCTCTGATTATGATAAGGCGGAATTTCTTCGCAGATTTCTTTGAAAACATCTACACTTCTAACAGTAACCAGCCCAGCATTTTTCCTGATTTAGTTGATTGTTTCCCTCAAATGCAAGATTCCCATTGGTTCAATGAACAGGAGATTTCCGACATATTATCCGATTGGAAATCTAGCTCATCATTCACACCGGATGGTATACCGTTCAGATTTATTAGAGCCGTGCTTCCTTCGATCGTAGGTCCATTGAAATTTATTTTGCCTGTTCAGGGCAGAATTTCCCCAAAGATGGAAACTCTCCTTTGTCACCCCTATTCCCAAGAAGCCCCCACGTGACATCCAAACCAGGACCTTCCAGGTTCGAGTTAATAAGAGTTTTTCATAGGCCGGTTAGCATTACTTCAATTTTTTGCCGAGTTTTCGAAAAAGTGATGAAGAGGGTTACCGTGGACCATTTAGAGAAGCACAGGATATTACCCGATTGCCAACACGGGTTTAGAAGCTCGAGGTCAACAATAACGCATATGCTTGAGGCTCCTCAATGATTGGACAGCGCCATTAGACGAAAAAAAAAGGATATTGATTTATTTCGATTATGCCAAGGCCTTTGATAGGGTAAACCACACCAAACTTTAGGCTAAGCTAGAGCACATTGGCATTCATCCGAGGATTGTCACATGGATTGAATCTTTTCTGCGGTTCTTCCAGGTTCGAGTTAATAAGAGTTTTTCTAGGGTCAGTTCAGCTCCTAACGGGGTTCCGCAAGGAAGTGTTTTATCACCGGTGCTGTTCTCCATTTTCACCTATGACCTCCCTCGACAAGTGTAAGAAGTAGGCATCAGATGCAAGATTTTTGCCGACGACGTGAAAAATTTATAGGTCATTGGGAGCGAAACGGATTCTGTGTTGATTCAAAAGGCTATTGATGCTGTTGTCGGCTGGTCCAACATGTGGGAGTTACCATTAGCGCCTGAGAAAACTTTTGTTTTGCATGTAGGCAATGGTCAGCCCAGCCACAATTACTTCATTGGTGAAATTGAGCTCAAAAGAGTCAATGAAATTAGGGATCTAGGTTTCATAGTTGATCGAAAACTTTGCTTCGACTCCCACTGTTGCAGTATAGCCAACAAAGCAGAATCTCGGCTTTTCTTACTTTTGAGGAGTCTCTATACCAAAGACCCATGCCTCCTTATCAGGGCTTACAAATCCTATATTCGCCCTTTATTGGAGTACGGCACAACTATTTTCTATCCGCAGACCAAAAAGGCTATCTCAAGATTGGATGCCATTCAAATAGTTTTACTAGGAAGGTATTTATAAGGGCCTTGGGTTTTAATTACAATGCCATACCCAGGGGTGTCGTAAGGAACAAAATGCTTGGCCTGGAATCCCTTCAGAGCAGAAGGAGGAAATTCGATCTTCTGACAGTATTCAAAATTATCACAGGAAAAATGTCCGTTGATTCTCAAGCATTCTTCACCCTTCTTCCGTCCACTACTAGAGGAGAGAGGCTTAAACCTCTCTCCCCAGAGCCAGGTCCTCGATCAGAACAAAATTCTTCACTGTGCGGGCTTTGTCGGAATTCTCCAAATTCAGCAAAAAGTACTCTATGTCCAGCAGTATAGCTAATTTGAAGAAAAACATGGACAAGTACTACGCTTAGGGCTATGTGCTTTTCTCTTACTATTTGAAGGCCATATCTTTTTGGGGCGTTAGTCATTTTTTCAATTCACTTTATTTCTTGTATTTTCTGATGATTTTGTAACGAGTTGTGTTGTGTTGTTGTTGTAATCTAGTGTTTTCTTATTTGTTTTATCAACCTCATGTACTCATGATCATGCAATAAATTTAAATCTAAATCTAAATCAACGAGGTCGTGAGGTACCATAGACCATTACGACGTCTCTGAAACGCTGGTCAAAAGCGGTTTTGCATAGTCACAGCTAATGTCTCTGGGAAGCTATTCAACAGTTAATCCATTGAAGAAATTATGTAGCAGCTTCAGGCCGGAGCGATTACGGTAAGCCTCGTTGAGCTCGACGGTGACGGCAGATGACGTCATATTCTGAAGACGGTGGGGGCAGTGAAGGAGGGCCTGCTTCTGCTTACGGGGGAACACCTAAGGAATATTCTGCCGTAAAACTTTCATTAACATCGGCATCCCTGTGCGACGAAAAGTTCGATGATGTGCGCCATGGGCAAAGTGTCTCTTTTTTTGGCCACCCCTGTATAATGCGCTAAGTCTGTCTGTCTGTCCGTCTGTCACGAAATTCCGGTATTAAGCGAACAACAACCTACAGGGTCCAGGTCAAGTTTGGGATGGGTGTACCATATCTCGAAGTAAAAAACACACATCAGCCAAGCGGAGCCCCGCCCACAGTGGGCGTGGCGTGCATCGGTTGATTTCAAATTCAGTCACAAAACAGCCTCGAGACTGGGGACAAAAGTGGGCATAGGTGTGCGTTGGTAAGCCAGATCGAATTGAGGAGACCCACCCTCGGTGGGCGGGGCGTTCTCTAAAAAAGCGGTGCTCAATGAAAATATTCATAACTCGGTTAGGAGAAAGCCTACAGAGCAGAAAAGAAATTAGTGCAGGTATTTCCAGCACACATGATGTGAACGGAGGCCCGCCCACAATGGGCGGAGCGTGTCGTGAAGCGGACGAGCGTTTTCTACAAGAGCTCATAAATCGGCTCCGAGATGACTTAGAGACCGGAAAACAGTGGATAGAGGTCAGGAGGGAGGGGAAGCTAAATGTCAGGGCTGGGCGTGGCTTACATCAAAGTGGGCGGAGTTTGCAATTAGGCTTATAACTCGGTTCCTAGGAGTCCCGGAGTCCGGGAAAAAAGCGTATAAGGGTTGGCAGAGGGAAAGGGGTCAACCGCTGTTGGCGGGCGGAGCATGCGTTAAAGTGGGCGGAGGTTTGCCACGGTACTTCATAACTCGGTTCCAATAAGTTCCGGAGATGGGAAAAAAGTAGAAAAAGGTTGGGGAAGAGATGATAGTCAACTGATATCAGTGGGCGACCCATGCACCAAAGTGGGCGGGGTTTGCCACAAAGATACGTAGCTCGATTTCGTCCCCTACAAGACCTCATAATTCGGCTCCGAGATGACTTAGAGACCTGAAAAAAGTGTATAGAGGTGAGAAGAGGAGTAGAGGTTGAATGTCATTGCTGGGCGTGGCATGCACCAAAGTGGGCGGGGTTTGCCACAGAAATTCATGACTCATAACGTCTTCTACAAGACCTCATAATTCGGCTCCGAGATGACTTAGAGACCTGAAAAAATGTGTATAGAGGTGAGAGGAGGAGTAGAGGTTGAATGTGAACGCTGGGCGTGGCACACCCGAAGTGGGCGGAGTTTGCCACCACTCTCATAACTCGGTTCCTAGAAGTCTAGGCGACCGGGAAAAATGTGGATAAGGGTTGCGGAGGGATGGGGTCAATCGCTTTTGTCGGGCGGAACGTGCCCGAAAGTAGGCGGAGTTTGCTACAAAATTAATAACTAGATCCTTAGAAGGCCCGGCGACCGGAAAAGTGCTAGCACTAGAGGCAGTTGAAATGCGATTAGTGCATAGAAGTGGTTAGCACGAAGATGCATTATGGCATTATAAAATACCAGTTTAGCTCCGCCCGCTACCGCGCGCATTGATAGAACTGACAATCGATGAAGCTTTAGGTTTCACCGCTAAATTATAGCTGCTTCGTTAAATGTATTACTGTCCGTTGCATAGGCTGCCCATCTTGGCTGTATCTCACTGTTTGATAAGCGCAGTGAAGTGCACAGCTAAAGTGATGATGTAAAC